ACTAGAACTCTAAGATGGGACAGACCCTGCCTTGGAAACAGCTTGCTCCTTGGCCACACCTCACCCTACCCCTACCCAGTGTCCCCTGCCCCCACCCCCCACTAACCACCAGAGTATACTCATCAGGCTGCTTCTAACTCCAGGCCTTTGTTAGGAGTTTGGCCAGGTCTGACAGGGACATCTCCTAAGAATCCTTGGCCCTAGTGTGAATTCCATTGTGAGCCTTGGCTCCTGGATAGGGGTCTTGCCTGCTGTCTGGCACCCCTCCCTCCTTCAGGGCTCAGAGCCAGGCACATAGCACTCTCTTAGCCACTGCAGTTCAGTAACTGCCCAACACCATGAAGGACACAGGGAGGTGGGAGAGGATGTAGGGAGGAAAGATTCCAGACCCCACTGAGACTCCAGGTTGAGTAAGAGGGGTCCACTACTTCCCGAGCCCCATCAAGCAGTGTCAAGGCAACACAACAGATGTGAAGGTGGACACCAAGCGCTGCTGTGGCAAGTGGGAGAAGCCGGTCCTGCCCCACCCCTCTTTCTCCGTGGGCCTGGCCCTTGTCCTGACTCCATCTCTGTCCACACTGTGAGCCCCTATGGCCCCCCAGTTCTGAATCAGCATGGCCCCAAGGGTCCCCACAAAGCCATTGGGACCGTGCACACAGTGCCCTTGCCAGAGCAGCCGCATGTGTGGGCAAAGTAGCCTCGTGAAACCCGGATTTTGAAGCAGCTCCTCCCCAGCTGGGGATGCCTGTAATCCTTCTCATTTGGGTACTGGGGGCCCTAGAAGGTTCAGAGGCCACAGCTAAACGGGCCTCCCACATAGCACTGGCAGGAGGCTCCCACTGCCTGCATCCAAGGTTCAGGGTCTCTGCCCATCCATGCCCACGAGAATTACCAGCAATGTCTTGCTCGTTCGTTGAGGACCAACCACCTTCGTGGGATGGAGGGCAGATGGCACGTACCCAACGGCAGGGCCTGGCTCAATGCATGAGTACCCACTGCCAATTGCTGCGCGTCAAGAGGCAGGAACTAAGCCGGGAAGAGAGGACTCATCCTCCTAGGCGCGTCTGCCTCTCCCGTCTCCAGCAGAGGTTGGAGCCTCCTGGGACCCTGGGAGGAGCCACTGGTGGCTGTTGGTTCCCCGCCCAGCGTTCCTCCGGAGACCTGGAGGCTGCGTGAGGCTGCGTCCAAGAAAGGCGCTGGAAGCAATTCCAGGCTATCAATCCCAAAATGAATTAGCATGGTCAAGTAAAGCCTGGGTCCCTCTGTGTGCTTCCCTCTGTTCCTAGGAGGATGCAGATCAATTCTGCTCCCTCCCTGCTCTGATGCCTGGAAGAAGGGTCCCTAGTGCACCAAGCATTCCTGGGTGCCACTCACAGTGCCAGTGCCTCCTCGGCACCTGTGTTCGCATTTTCGGGCAGCTTGGGACCAGGTCTGGGGTGCAGGTGATGGTGGAGCTGGAAGATCCGTCCGTGTGCTCAGGGTCCACGAGAAACAGGAGGGCTTGCGGACCCCTCCAGAGCTAACAGCTGCTGAGTGAATGCTGAGGGGCAGCGTTGAGTCTTTGGGACGGACAGGAAGTGAGGAGTGGGATCCCCCTGGATGGGTGTGAAGACACCTCCCTGATGGCTTCCCTGGGAGCCAGTATGCCCAGGAGAGGTGAAGCTGGGTGGACAACTGGGCAGCCACCATTCTTTACTTGCAGCCTCCCTTGAGCTGGGTAGAATATGTCTGAAATTAAGTCTTGCTTCACTTACAATGCCGAAGATGTTGGGGTTGAGTGAGTCTCAGAACTCGGATCCCTGGGGCAGTGCCAGGATCCCCATGAAGAGTCCATGTGCCCCCCCCCATGCTGTGTGAAGGTCCCAGAGGGCAAGGCAAAGGCTGCAGCCACGTCCTCAGCCCCCTGCTGCCCTGCCAGCCTCCCGCACTCAGCCAAGCTTCTGGCCCCACCCCTTTGCAAGCCTCGGTTTTCAGTTTTCAGGTCTGTACAATGGTCTCATCATAGCCCCTACCTCGAAGCCTTTTCCTGAAGAAATGCGCGGCTTGTGCTCACTCTGGGCTGCAGAGGGAGGAACCACCAGACAGCAAGCCCTGGCCCCAGCCCTACACGGCGACCTAGAGAGTCAGACCCGGTGCAGCTCAAGATCTCAGGCCGCCTGACCCCTCCAGGTGCATACAAGGCCCGCTCCCAGCCAAGACTCCTACCGCACCCTCATAGAGACGCGGCCGGCAGGGGGAGCGAGGCGGAAGGGAGCCGCGGCCGGTCCAGGTGAGGGAGGAACGCTCGCTCAAGGCTGGCCACGGGAAGCGCTACGCTCGCGAGCGGAGCCGTGTGTGCGGAACGTAGGGCCACCAAGCGGGTGCGCTCCCTCTGTGCTGCGGGCGGGCGGGCACGTCGGTTGGGCTGGCGGCGGGCGGCGAGGAGCGCACGCCAGCGGGCGGTGTGCCGCACCAGAAGGGAGAGAGGGTCCGAGGAGGACTTCGCGGCTGGGCGGTGGAGGCGGCGACTCGCCCATGGACTGGAGGCTCGGCTTGGGGGCTTCAGGCCCTGGTAGCTGAGAGCTCTGGGAGGGTCCAGCGTAGAGCAGCCCGGAGACGGTCCGAAATTAAGCGAGTAAGCGGCTGGGAAGGAGTCTCGACTAGGTGGCTGGTTGGGGCCCTTCGCTTCTTCCAGCGCCGTCCTTCTAATCGACCAGGGCCCCCTCCACTTTGACGACGGCGGAGTGTTTGCGACCCAGCCCGCCGAAAGTCCGGCTCCTGCGCGAAGGATTTAAAAGGGGCCTGGGAGGGCTCTGCTTCCCGTGCCACCTCGCGTGCAGAGGTCTGGGGACCTCCGGCTGTGCCTTGGGGGCTGACCCCTAGTCTCCGGGAGGCTCCAAGGTTTTTCACTTTCACTTCCCCCTTCTCAGCGTTGGCCTCACTGCAGGCTCACATCTGGCGGCTGCCCTCAGGTATGCACATATGGAAGGCTCCCTCAGGTGCACGGCATACAACCTCGGGCATCCCCATATTCTGGATAACAGGAAATCACGTGCAGGACCCGGATCGGGAACCCACACACAGCCAGCAGAGCTGGGGATTTCTCTGGGTGCAGACTGACAGAGCCCCCCCAAACACAGAGGCCCCTCCCAAACACAGAGCCCTCCCCAAATCTGCACCCGCCTCCCGCCTCAGCGGGGCACTACCCTTTATCATAAGCAATTCCTCCCATGGACCTGGGGGAACTGGCGGGCCAACTCAGGGAAGAAGGAAGAGTGCCCAGGCTCAGCAGGTCCCCACACAGCACCCCTCACTATACCTGTCCCCTGGGTGCCCTCGATGACACATAGTCATTGAGTGACCCCTGTCACTGCCACTGTCATGGCCCCAAATGGCCACTCAGGGCTGGGGAAAAACCCTGGTGACAGCTTCCTTTTCCCATCACAGTCCACCCAGCTGCTGGTATAGTGAGATACCGCATCTCAAGCACAGCGCTGCTCACACACTCTCACCCACTGCACTCTCAGGCCCAAGCCAGCCCGGTCCCCTACTGCCTGCCCCTGGTCTCCAGTTCCCAGTGCCTGTCCCAGCTCCCAGCCAGTGCCCTCTCCGGCTCAGGATCTGAGGGCCTGAGCTTGAAAAAGCCTGGGAGAGGCTGCTTGCCTTCCTCCCATCCCAATGCAGTGGGGGTGTTATGCTCCCAGAGAGACCTTGGAAATTGAGGCCCTGACCTTGGCACCTCAGTGCTTCAGGCTTGACACCCAGCTGGAGAGACCCTGGGCAGGAAGGCCATGGCCACGATGAACAGCTCAGAGGTAGCCGGGCAGACAGAAGATGGGACCGTAAGGGCCAAGTCAGGCCTTGGCAGTAGAGCTGCCTGGGCCTAGAAGCCCAGAGGCTGAATGGTGGGCCTCGCCTTTCCCTGCCTGGCCTGGTCAAGCACCTCAGCCAGCAGGGCCTTTCCCAGCAGGCAGGCTGGCTGCCGAGGGCCGAGGGGGCAGCACTGGACCCAGCGGCCTGACTTCTCCGACGTGTCCTCAGCTCCCCGTGGCTGGCCAGGCCCCGCCCCTGGCCCTCCCTGCGCCAGGCCGGTGCGCAGGGAGGTCGGAGGAGCAGGCACTGCCCACCCTCCGGATGTATAAGCGTCCTAGCTAGAGGTGGGTGGTGCGCCCAAGTGCGCGTGACACTTGGGCTCCCGGGCTGCTTGGCCTGGGCGGTGTCCCTCTGCTTGGGTCCGGCCACGACAGTGAGCTGACCTCAGGGGACTGTGGGGCATTTGCTGGGCTGGATCTTGTCCTGCTGTGCTCAGAAACGAGGAACTGAGGACACCTCAGCACTGAGGCTGCCAGTGGCCGGGAGTGAGCTGCTCTCTCCTCATCCAGGTGCAGGGGCAGCCAGGGAGGAGGGGGAGGCGGGAGGGGCCAAGGGCAGGGGCAGGGCTGGGCCTAGGTAGCTCACGGAGCTTCATCCCTACCCTGCCACCTCGGGCTGGGGCCAGGTGCTCTAGCCACCTCTCCCTCCTCTGAGGCTGTAGAAGATGATGGTGGCTTTGTGGTTCAGAAGGAGGCTGGGTCTTGGCAGCAGCAGAGGGATGTTTAAAGGGCATCGGTCATGGAGGTCCCTAGGAGCAGAGGCAAGGGGCAGGGAGCTTGGAAAGCAGGAGGGCCCCACACTTCCATGATGCTGCAGTTCTCTGGGCTCCTGCTACCAGTCCCAAGTCTGGGACCTATGACACCTTTATCCCCTGGGCCTGGGGCTGGTAGTTGTAAATATTACTGTGGGCCCCAGCCTACAACCCTGTGGGCTGGGCTGGGCGAAGTGTGGCAGGGCACAGGCAGTCGGAGGAGGCGCCGGAGAAGCCGCCAGGCGCCTATGGACTCGCAGAGCCCGCTGCCTCCCTGGACCAGTGTGTTCAGCATCACCTCTCTGGTTGCAGCTGAGGCTGCCGAGCACACCTCCTACCGGTCCCCAGGTCCTCAGACCGGGCGAAGCTTTACCAGCTGCTTGGATCTCCAGCCGGGATGCACTTCAGCACCGTCACGAGGGACATGGAAGGTGAGCCTCCTGGCCCCATCTACACCCGCCGCCCTCCAGATCCCCTGCCTGGGCTGCTGTGGATCCTGGTTGCAAAGTAGGTGGAGGGAACCCTTGGTAGGGTGGGCTCCAGGCTCCCCGATATGACTCTGGGCCCAAAGCCTGTCCCCACCCACCCGCCTAGGGGCCCAGCTTCTGAAACAAGCAAGGTAGATGTAGGCTGCGAGAGAGGGCAAGTGGAAGCTGAGAAGGATGGCAGAGGTGGCCGAGAGCTTGGAGGGGAAGGAGGAAAGTTGGTAAGGGAAAAGAATGCCAGGGAGCTCCAGAAAACAGGAAAGGGAGAGAAAGAAATCTGTGAGGGTAGCTAGGAGATGAAATTGAGAAAAGGAGAGAAAACACAAATCATCCCAAAAAGAAGGTAGGAAAGAAAAAAGAAAGACATGAAAAAGAAATAAGGAGAGCCAGAACGAAAGAGAAGAGAAAAAACGAGAGAAAATTTAAAGATGGAAACTGAACTTACTTTTTAAAAACACTGGTTTTTATTTTTTATTTTTTTGAAAAAGAAGGAAAAGCCATGAAAACCAGAGGATATACGAAAGAAAAAGGAAAAGGACAGACAAAAAAGACAAAGAGTGGTTTAAAAAATAGAATGAAAAGAAAGGGAGGTCACAGGCAAAAGAGGAAGAGACAGAAAGAAAGACAGGAATAAAGAGAAACAGAACAGATAGTGAAGAAGCGAAGATGGTTAGGAGGGAAAATTTAAACGAGGAAGACAAAAGTAAAGAAATAACAAATTGGAGACAGCAAACCTGGGAGAGAGAAGGGAGCAGCGCGACGCGGGAGGGCGGCAGAGCGAGGGGCCGCGGCCGGCGCTCCGGGGAGCCGGTCGGGGCGGTCGGGGGGCCCTAGGCCGAGCGAGCCGCGGCGGGCGGGCGGGCGGGCTGGGGGCCGCGGAGAGGG